TGAGGGGGAGGGGAATTCCCCCTAAAACAACTAAACAGTGTTCCCAAGACTGAGGGGCACATGCATACGGGCACAGGAGGCTGCCTGGCTTCCAGAAAGTTCCATTAGGAAAAACCAGACCACGGACTTCCAGGGAAATTTCAGAACTGAAGCTCCCAGGAAAGATGCAGGCAGGAAAACAAAGAAGAGTCAGTAATGAGAACAGCTGCGGCCCTGGCACTGTTGGGAGGCAAAGACAGGGCTAAGCATTTCAACGCACTGAGCACAGTGGCTTCAGCCCAGAACTTCATGTCCACACAGCGAGTTGTGAGGGTAGAATGGAGCTGTGTGTGCGTGTGTGTGTGCATGTGTGCGCCTGTGCGGCGGAGGTGCCAGGAACCCAACTCAGGACATGTCCCCAAGTAGGGACATTTTTATACCTGAAGTCTCTTAGTTTTCCTGTAGGGAATGTTTCAGAAAATTGTGGGAGCAAGCCTGACAGAGAAGTGAAGCACACAGTGGGAAGGCTGAGGACAGGAGGCGCAGCCCCCAGTGGCAGGCAAGGGCTGTCCAGGAAATGCACGGGGCCCAGGGTGGTGGCTGGTCCTCAGAGCTGTGTGCACCAGCACCCCCAGGGCCTCCAAGTACTCGGGCGAGGTGCTCTCCCGGGACAGTGAACCAGGCGGAGCTGGGCAAGCACAGAAAACTGCAAAGACGAGCACAGAGATAAAATCCCACAGAAAGCAAAGTGCCGCTCAGAGGATAAGGGCAGCCACAGCTCACCATGTGACTGCTGCGTGCCTCATTCTTTCAGAACCAGGAGCTGTGCCACATGGATCCAGCTGCAGTGGAAGAGGGGCCACAAGGTGGAAGCTGTGAGGGCTCATGCCTGCACTCCGGGCAGCAGAGCCCTTGGGGCGGGGAGCCGCTGCGTCACCTGGAGCTGGTCAGCAGATGAGCAACCGAGGCCAGCAGTCTGAGGACAAGTGCTCTGGAGTGGCGGAAGAGAACTCAGGAGAGGACTTGGTCACGGGTGGGGCCTGGGGGCCTGGGCAGGAGGAGGGGCTGGAAGGAACATGCCAGTCTGCTGCTCCGTCCCTGGCCTCTTCCCCAGGAAGACGTTCAGGTCCTAGCACTGCTCTGTTCTATGCCCACCCCCCTAGAGCTCACGCACACTTCTCTTACAGTCAGCTCTAGCTCAGAATCCTTCCATGGGGAGGCTGAGCAGCCTGGGGACCCCAGTGTGGTCCACAGGGGGCTGTGACGCAATATCTGTTGGCATCTAGTCCACACTCCTCCTCCCTGTGTGGCTGCCCAAGGGGCCGGAAACGGTGGGTCCTGTGGGCACACCAGGAGCACAGAGACTCCCAGCAGTCCAGCTGCTCAGCGGAGTCGCACTGCCCATGGCCTTTATGTGGCGATGTGAAGCCCTGTGTGTACACATGGTCCCCTGTGCGGGGGACGGGGGAAAAGGAGCTGGAGGGGGCTAGATACTGAGACTTGCCGTTCTTATCAAACCAAGGAAGAAACGCAAATGATGCTGGTGTGTGCAACTTGCGGTGAGGTTGTAGCTGAAAGTGCTTCCTTGACCCAGTATCCAGCGTCCAGTACCCAGCTCCTTGGGGAGGTCTGGGCTTCTGTCCAGAACCTGTGTCTCCAGGAAGGAGAGAAAACTGGGCTTTGGGGGCCCACTAGGCATCACTCTAAGCTGACGTCTCCTGGACGCCCACACTCTGCTGGCGTCCGGTGGCGCTTCTAGAGCCCTGCAGCAACCGAGTGTGGCTGGCTGTGCGCCCTGCCAGCTGCAGCTGCACGTGCTCGTCCCTTTGTGAGTGGAAGAGCCCTGCATTGTCCACTGGTAGAGACGCACCCCTCAAGATAAGCACACAGAACACAGGTAAGAAGAACAGAGCAAAGAAAAAATGAGGGTGAAAACATAAGCCAGGATAAGAAGTGAAACAAACACACCAGGTGTCTGCCATACACCCTTGTGTACTTGCTGTGACACCCACAGGGTGGACTGTACCATCAGGAGAGGTGCCGTGTGTCTGAGGGGCTCATGTTTTATCTGCAGCAGCAGAAAGTGTCACAGACACAGGGGACACAGATAACAGTGCCTGATTCTCAGACCAGGCAGGACCTCCATGTGTGCCACACTTCCTTCCAAGCCTGCATTCACACACCACCAAGTGAGGGAGTGGGGAACAGGACTGCAGGAGGGAGGTGTGGGCTGACCCTCAGCCGAGGCTGAGTCCTCTGCAGCCGGCCTGGCTGCACTCCTTTGAAGTCTCTGAAGCTGCCTCCTGGGTGCCTTCTGCGGGCCACAAGCAGATAAGACAGCCCTATCACAGAAGGCCCAGATGAGCTCTCTGCAGCAGAGCACAGCGCAACGCTCCAGCAGTCAAATATTTACACATTTCTCAAATGCTAAATAAGTGACTATGATACCACTTTTAAAGCAACAAATTAGCCTGGATAAAGCCCAGTCTGTGACCTCGATGAAGATTTTTCATATTAATTCAATTACATCATCCATAACATAATAAACGAGCATACACGACTACATGCAGCTAGCAAAATCGATGCTCAGTTTATATTTAAAAGAGAATACATATACTCTCAGTATGGACTCAGTGATCACAAATGCCAGCATCTGTCCCAAAGCAACTAAAGGACAAATTCTAGCCTGGAAGAGGCCAGGCAGCAGCAACAAATATCAACAATGAATAAAAGATTGGGGGAAACTTTAAAAATGTGAATATGGATATCTGATAACATAAAAGATAGGAAAACTCTAAATCAATTAGCTAATGAAAACAGGAGTCAATGCCAAAGTCAACCAAATCTGTGAACATAAATACTTACGAAGGATTCAGAAAACTTAAATCTATTCTGCTCTACCCAGGCACAAAAGCACTGAGCCCTGTGGCTCTTCACACTGGAAACGCAGCCATCTTACCAGAGAAACAGTACCGAGAGTAGCAGGAAAACGCCTTTTCAAATGCGACTTTCAGCAAGCTGTAAAGGACAAGATTCCAAAGTTTTAGTGCATAAAATTATTTAATACTTTTCAATGTACTAACAGACATCAACATGAAGTTAAAAGATGAAGGCCAAACCTGGGGGACAACTGCATCACATGTCACAAAACGTCGTGTGCACTGACCTATTCACGCTCGAAGACCAGTGCCCAGAATAACGTGCGATGCAGTAGATGGATGCGTTCTCAGGGAGCTCATGGCAAGGGCAAAACAATGGCGTAAGCATGTTAAGGATGTCTAATTTCATTAATATGAATTAAAATGTCACTGAAATACCACTTTTTGCCTCTGAGTATCAAAATAAAAACATGTTGTTCAGCAGATGGGTACAGGCTTTTTCCTGCTTGTCCACAGATGCCACAAAAAGCTGGGAGGACACCTGCAGCCCCAGGGAAGCCAACTGTGCCCACTGTCCTGCTTCTGGGAGGGGCATGGTGAATGTAAGTGACCCACACTGACGTTAGCTGAAGCACTGCCTATTGCAGAGAGGACAAAGATGGTTTGTTCCTGAGCAGAAGGCAGGCCCACTGGGGCTTACGCGGGGCGATCTCTGCAGTACAGGAGAAGGCTGCCTTGTGGCTCAGCCCAGCCCTGGCAGAGTGCGGGTGTCAGATGGGGAATAGCCATCTGTCTGGCCATCCGTCCGTCCGTCCCTCCGTCTGTCCATGTTTGCTCCTGCCCTGCTGCACCAGAGCTTCCTGGTGCGCTGGCCAGAGCACCTTCCCATCCTGGCCTGGCTGTCCTCACGCTGACAGGCACCTGGCGGGCCTGAGGGTCCTGGCGCGGCCTGGGTGCAGTGTCTGCCCACAAAACCGGGTTGCACGTTAGAGCCTGGAGGCCCTGTGCAGGGCTCTGGTGCTGGGCGTGAGGGTGAGGACTGTCCCGCTGAGCCCCATGATGAAAGGACACAGAGAGCCAGGGTGAGGGGTGAGGGGGCCGAGGGCCTGGGCTTGGGCCTTTTAGTACCAGGCAGGCTCCAGGGCTGATATAAGGAAATCCTCCTCCGTGAAGGGAAACGAAGGGGCCACGAGTCCACAGTCAACCTAGAGATGGGGAAAGGCTTTCTGCACCCAAGAACCGGCTGGCAGCGGGGGTGAAGGGGGGAGGGTGCGGAACCCCAGGTCCATTAGGGCGAGGCCCCCAGTGTAACAGGTCGGCGGGGGCGCTCTCCTGCGACAGGACGGACGTGCACAGAAACTTCCGTGATAGAAAGGCCACGCGCGACTGCGGACCTGGGGACAGGAACACACGACAGGTTCAGGCAGGGAGGGGAGGAAGACATGGGATGGGGACAAGGGGCACACAGGACCTGGAGGGGAAAAGGGATGGGACACTGGACAGGAAAGCTGGGACACAGGACAGGGACACAGGAGAGGGAGGGGACGGGCCCATGCTGCAGGGTCCTGGTCGCAGCGGCCTCCGGGGACATCGACCCCCAACCCAGCCCCGGACCTGCAGGCCTGGATGCCCGCACCTCAGCCAGTGTTCTGGCCGAGATTCCTTTCGGACCAGGACAGGACCGAGATCTTTGCAGCATGGGTCTGGGCTCCAGGGTCCAGGACACAGCGGCGACGCTAGAACAGGGTCGGTCCATCAGCAGCGGGGCTCCGAGCCCGCTCACCCGCGGGCCGGGGAGGGTCTTTGCGTCGCGCGTGGGGATCTCGCTCGGGCCGGACTCGCGGGCACCCCGCGGGCTGGATCTGGGTCGGGAGCGGCAGGGAAGCGCGTGTGCTAGTTGTCCGGCCTCACGCTGGCGGCTCCCGGCCACGCCCGAGCCAGGGCAAACGTGGTAGGGCGTGGTCTGCTCCGCAGTCTGAAGGCCGAGGCAGGAGGGCCCGCCCGCCGCCAGCCCGGGGTCCCAGACCGCCGCATCACGCCGGCGTTAGGACCCTGGGGCTCCGGGCAGGCGGGCGGCGGGAGCGGCGCCACCTACTTATAGCGCGGACCGGACCCCGCGAGCGCACTCGGCTGGGACCGACCGGGCGGCCTGCGGGGCGCAGAACCTCCGGGACCCAGCGCCGGACTGGACCCAGCCCGAGCCGACGCGAGCCCTGAGCCGCTCACCCGCGCCGGGCTCCCGCCTCCGCGGTCGCCGAGTGACTGCCCAACCGCGCTCGCGCCCCCGGCTCCTGCCCAGCCCGCGGGCGATGCTGTGACGGCGCCGGACCAGCGAGCGGACGACCCGGGCAGGGCGCCCGCCCGCCCCGATGCGGCTGCGCCTCTTCCCCTTCGCGCTCGTGCTGCTCAACTGCGTGGACCTCGGGCTCGGCCAGGGCCGCTGGCGCCGCGGGAGGCGAGGTGGGTCCGGGGCCGCGGGGACGGCGCTGCTTTCCCCCGGGTCCGCGGGGCGTGGGGTGCGGAGCGGCCCGGTGCCAGTCCGCCTGCGGGGGTCGTCTCCACCTGGGGCCCATCCAGGAGAACCCGGACCTGCGCCTTTCCGGGCGCCAGTGGGGATCTCCGTCCTGGGGAGGCGACACCGTGTGAGTTGAGTGACTCTGCGACCACCGGGGACGCTGCACCGCACCCTCTGCGGCGCGTGGATCGGACCGGTGGTCCGGCCCGCACCCTGCCGGTGTCAGCCCGGGGCGCGGGACTCGTTGCCCGCTGAGCACCCCGCGCCCCGCGCCCCGCCGCAGCCAAGGCCCGGGGTCAAAGAACCCGCCGCGGCCGCGTGGACGCGGGCTCTGCGGCTCCCGCGCACGGGTGCACGAGGCGCGCGGGTCCCGGCGCTGGCCCCACCGCGCGCCCAGCTGCTGCTAACTGATCTGCCGCTGAGGACCTGCGCGGCGGCGGCGCGTCCCGCGCGAGCGGCTCCCCGGGACCGAGCGCGATCCCCGGCTTTGCCTCGCGTCCCGGGCCGGCTCCGCTCTCCGCTCTCCAGGGCGAGGCTTCCCGGCCGCGCTCCGCGTGGGCCGCCGGGCACCGGGCTGGCCAGGGTTCCCGCCGGGGATCCTCCCCTTTTTCTTTTCCATATTCCATCTGCAAATAATCAAACCTTCACAGCAGCCTCTCGGAGCTCCTTTGGCATTATGTTTAGTCTGCTCTATGATCTCAGATGCTCCGTAATATCATTTTCTTAATGAAATAAAATTCTTGGCAGGGATCAGATAATTTAGTCAGTTAAAATCAATTGCATCCAGTCTGGAGTGGAGCGAATGTGTGCTTTAGCTCCGCGTTTCATTTCAAAACAGTCAGAGGACTGCGGGAGCACCGCGTTGGCCTCTGCTGGCCCCGCGGTGGGAGCGAGCCCTCCACCCAGCGCTCTTCGCCGCCCCTTTGCCCGTGTTTTGAAACAAAATCTTGAAATAGAAACGCACTCTAAGGTCGCGAAGGGCGGGCTGCAGCGTCTTCATTAGTCAGGCGGCGGCGGCGGTGCACCGCTGAGAGTGCGCGGCCCGCAGGCAGCCGGCGGCGCGGCTGAGGACCTCGACTGTGGTCCGAGCTGAGGTGACCCCGCCGCGTGGGTCTGTCCCGGGACCGCACGGGGGTTTCTTTGCCGGGCTTATTGGGTTACCTGCCGGGCCGTATCTCGGGGGATGGTTGTAAGCAGCACGTGGGGCTGAATGACTGGAAGTGGACAGGAATCCTGGCGTTTCTCGCACGCGGCACGCGATGACTTCACCTCACCTCTCCTGCGCTGCTGCGATGTGGCCCACATATTTTAGCCAGGGTTTAGGCAGATTTTCTCCGGCCTCTGACAGGTTCCAGATGTGTAACTGGGTTTCTGGCGGCAGGGCCGCACGCCTTGTGGCGGCTGGGAGCCACCGCTTCTCTTCCCTTCACCTCTCCCTTCCAGGAGCTGCTCGGCCTCTTCCCTGAAAATGAGGTGCTGGTGGCAAATGGCTTTGCGTGCTTCTGGCAAATGAGGCTGGAAGGAAAGCTGCAAACTCTTAAGCCATATAGAGCTAAATGCACTTATATTTGTCTTTTTAAAAATTAATGAAGCAATTTGGACATGCTTGTGTTTCACAAGTAGTTTTAAAGAATGCTTTATTTCTCATTGTGTTGTTTCCGAGCAGAGAGGCACATGGAGCATATAAACTTACACTTAAAGGGGAAGCCTTCAAGATGCCTTTGTACACATGCGTTCATCAGTGCTGAAGTATTTCAGAGAAGCTGTTGTGGTGTTTACCTTTGCAACACAAACGCATTCTCCTCCTTCGCTCTCCTTTTAGTCGGCTGCTTTGCGTCCAGGTGTTTGCATTAGCCTTGCTGCCCACTGCATTGCGTGCAGAGAGGTCAGAAATACCTCTGACTTCTCCACTGAGGCCCGTGAGTGTCAGGGCAGGTGCTGCCTTCCTGGGTCCCAGCGTGTGCTCCTGGGACACCTGATTTGCTCTAAAACCGGGCCTGGTGGCCCAGCATTTGCAGCAGTCACCCCTGGATAGGATGCCCCTAGTTCCTGAGGACAAAGCTGCCTCTGGGTTGGTGCAGAACTGGCTAGGGCGTGGATTGTCCATGCCACTTTGCTTGTCTTTCCTCCATCACAACTGCCCTCCCCTGGGAGCTGGCCACTCTTCCTTGCTGGTGGGAGGTGGGTGCTGGGCCCTGTCCTCCCTGCGCCCTTGTTGATGACCCCCAGTGCTGGAATTCACTCTTCATGAATGTCTCTGACTCTTTCTCCTCCTTTCCCAGACAAGGTATTCTTAGAAACTTTGAAATCAGGCCCCACTATTTGGTATTTGGAGCAGCGTCAGGTTCACGGTGACCGTGGGCAGCAGGTATAGCACTCTGGGCAGGGGCACGGCCTGGCACCTATCCCTCTGTTCTTCTGCCGTGTGGGGATGGGTCTTCCCAGCTGGCTTCTTCTCCTCTGCCTGTGTCATGGCTTTGGCTTCTCTGCGTTCGGATCGTCACTCTGCCCTGTGGGTGGGATGCCAGCCCCTGCCCTGTGGCCCAGGGACTGTGCCTTCCTGGCTGATGTTTCCTTCTTTCTGTCCTCCCTGGCCAGGTGCTCTGGCTCCTCCTGTCCCAGCATCTGCATTGTGGTCTTTCATGTCATTCCCCCTCCCCCGCTGTCCCACTTCCTGCTCCAAGCCAGGCCGAGGGTGAACCCTGTGCTCCAGGCTGGGTGCCACCCGCCTCCTTCCCACTGTGCTGCCTTTCCCTCCCTGGAGGTCACAGCCACAGTCTCCAGACAGGTGACTCCACCTTGTGGGCCAGTTGGATGCCACCACCTCAGGGAAGCACCCCTGGAATTAACCACCGACTTCCCAAGCCCAAGCCAGGAGTGCTGTCCTGCTGCTCTTGTGCTGCTCTTCTAGGACTCTTTTCTCCTCTGCAGCCTGGGTTTTCCAGAGCTTACAACCTGGTTGGAGCTGGACAGAGAAGCCTTGGGGAAAGGATTGCAGGTTCAGAAGCACATTTTTCTGGAACAGAGGAAATATGAGGTTGGCATCCCCAACCACATTGCTGGTATCAGTGCATAATCATTTTGGGGGAGTGAAAAGCCAAGGCATTTGCCTTCCTGCTGGGCATTTGTACTAACAGCTCGGTGAGTTGGTGCCTGTGGCTCTGGTCTTTACCCTGTCATGCATGGCCTTGGGACAGCTGTGCCTATTGTATGCATTGTGATTTAGGGGTGTGCCCTGTAGGGGTGTGTGGACTCCTCCAGGACCCTGGACCTCCCAGCTGCTTAGCAAGGGATGCTGGTGCTGGGCCTCAGAGCTGACAGTTAGAGGGCAGAGCTGGAAGTACAGCCCAGGTTTTCTGGTGGCTTTTCTTGTCCATTGTGCACATTTAGCATAAACATAAGAAAGAAAACTCCTCTCTGAAACCCCTGAACACCTTTTAGATCAGACTATTACTGGATCTCAGCACTGCCCATAGCTCCTAATTACTAATAAAGTGACTGATACTAAACAGCTGAAAGCTGAGGGGTGGAGTAATTAAGTGACAGGTCTTTAGTAACAATTTGCATAATTGTTATGATAGATTTTTGGATCACAATTCTTGAATTATAGGGACCTCTTTTATTTCTGATACTCCAAAGCAAGAACATGTGCATAGGTGAGTGTTTGTGTGTACACACTGGTGCAGTGTCTGTTCTCATGTATGTATTTATAAGAATGTGTGTATTATGCTTTTACACATCTGTATGATATCACCTTTAGAACATCTTTTTTCTTTTTTTGTATTTAGTACAGGGTCTCCAGGGTTTCACTGCACAGGTCAGACTCAGCGATCTTCCTGTGTTTCAGCCTCCCAAGCGCTGGGATTAGGCGTGCACTAGCTCACCCAGTCTCATTTTCTATCTCAGCGTGTGTGTGTGGGGGGCAGACTGGAGATGGAAGCCCTGGCCCTGTATCTGCCTAAGCAGGAGCTTTCATCTGCTATAGAGCACCTTTGAAGTATTACAGTTTTAATGCTGAGGCCGAGGTAGAAGCAGCACTGTGGACTGGAAGTTACCTTGCTCAGCACATTTCTTTTGAGCATAATGATGCATATCTGAACTCGGGGTTCAGAAGTGCGGTCCAGTCTTCTGGCCCTCTAACAGTAAGAGGCCAGCTCTGTTCTGCTTGCCTCCGGAATACAGGAAGAGGCAGCGTCCCCAGCCTCGGAGCGGCCCTGGGTCCGTCCTTTGAATATGTTCGGAGACCTCAGCTCTGAAAGCGGACCACTACTCTGCAGTCGCTGGTGCAGGTTCACCTTCTAAAAGCTCTGTTTTCCTGGAGTGGCTTTTCAGCCGTTCGCCAGGCGTGTGCTTGGTGTCGCAGGCCACAGTGAAGGCGGCTTCTTGAAGCTCACTTCAGTGATCACTTAGTTACCTGGCCAGGAGTCTCTTCCTCAAATACAACCGCTGTTAACTTCTCTCCAACGTCACCTAAACAGTTTAAAACACACGGTGTGAGGGGTCCTGAACAGGTGCCTACATAGGTGGGGACAGCTGCTCTAGGGTCCCACTGGGCCCGGCCCTGTGGGCTGGCGGCGTGGACACAGGTGCTGCTGCCCAGCGGGCCGTACGTCGGTCCTCTCTGCACCGGGAGGTGGCGTCCCCCAGCCCCGGGAGCGCGTGTCGCGCGCCGCAGCCAGCTCGGCCGACAGAGGGCGCGCTCTGCATTCTTTTCAGAGCGGCTCCGGGGCTCTGGGCGCTCTGGCTGCAGACCGCTGCGCCGCGAGCGCCCCAGGACGCTGCGCAGGTTCAGGCTGCTGGAGCCCTCTCGCGGGCCTGAGACCTCGCTGGAAGGCGCTTGTGAGACAGACTGAGGCTGGAGGTCGATTCCAGCTTCCGCCTCCGCTCTGGAAGACTTCGGGTTTGAAAAAGTGTTACATGAATGCTTTCCGCAAAGTCCATGCCT